GTTATATATTCTTGGGGTTATATTATTTATCCTAATTACAGAAAGTATCTCAGTGAATGCAAAAAAATAATAAATTAGGCAATCAAACACTTGTGCTCATGTAAACTGTAATGAAGTACAATGAAGAAAGGGACTTTGGGGCACCTGGTTGGCTCAGTCGGAAGAGCATGCAACTCTTGATCTTGGAGTTCCTGAGTTCGAGCCCCACATCAGGTGTAGATTACTTAAATAAAAAACTTCTTAAAAAGGGAGTTTGTCTTTTGACTCACCACCATATACACAGTGTACACACTATAAGTCTTAGCAGTCTTTTTAAAATTTCTTGCCTCCTGCATTATCCAGCCTGCATTAGCATCATATTACACCCAATGCCTTCAGTCATAAAATGCTATAATCTCACACTTCCAAAGATATGTAACACAGCCCCCCCCCCAAATTGTTCTATATGAAGTTTAAGCAGGTCTCTGACATTTATGTCAAAAAAATTTTCATCAATTGGTGAACCTCAGTTCCCAACCAAAATAAAGCTCTTAAAGACTAGATTTATTCTCTTGCCTGAAATAATAAAAATTAAAACAACAGTGTCCAAGATATTCAACATCATACCATAATGATCACTAAATAAAGTAAGTCACCCAATTGCACCAGCTTAGTGCTAATGAAAGGTTTCTGTGCTGTGATGCCCAGAAAGTGAACCTCGACAGAACCTAGAAGATTCTAGTTGAGAGATGAAGCTGAGAATCTGGGGAGAATGCAGTGACTTAAAGTTCACAAGAAGGAGTCCTACAGAGGGGGGAAACCTACAAAGAGGATTCTGAAGCTCTAATCATGTCCCCCTAAGTATTCTGCTGAAATATTTATCATTGCTTTTATGTAAACAAATTACCCAAGGCCAAGAGGAATCTGACTGAATTAGAGGAAATTAAAGTCACTCACATTGATCTGAGAGTAGGACCTCTCTATTCCCACTATCCAGACTAGAAAATCTCACAATTCATGGAGAATTTGGTAGAACACACAGAAAAATTCTGCCTCAGTATTTGGACAGTATTGAAAAGTTGGCCTTACACTGAGCACTGCTTCAATCCCAGTTAAGAAATCTTAATAACAAAACTCAAAAGGACCTGTTTCCAAAAACACTGAGTCCCAGAACAAAGTACAAAAACATTTAAAGAAATATAAATAAATCTAGCAACCAATGAGATAAAAATTTAAATGCCTGGTATTTAATAAAATTACCAAGCATGCAAAGAAGCAGAAAAATATAACCCATAATTAAGACAAAAAGTAGTCAATTGACACTGACACATATGCTATAGTTACTAGACAGGTATAGTAAAACATTCAAAAATTTAAGAAGAGATATGGGAGATACTTTAAAAAGACCCAAACGGAAATTCTAGAGATGAAAACTACAATGTCTGATATGAAAATATACTAGATGATATTAACAATAACAAAATTGATTAATCCAAAAGAGGGCAGAAAAAAAGGGAGGGACACAGAATAGAAGAAATGAACAGAAAACAATAAGATGGTTGGCTCAAATTTAATCAGATCAATAGTTACATTAAATATGAATGGTCTACATATCCCAACTAAAAGACACATATTACATATTATCAGATTGAATAAAAGAGATCAAACTATATTCAGTCAACAAGAAGTTCAGTTTAAACACAAACACATATATACACATAGATTTAAAGTGATGGGTTTTTGGGGTTCCTGACTGACTTAGTCAGTTTAGGCTCTGATTCTTGATTTCAGCTCAAGTCATGATCTCACAATTTATGGGATCAAGCCCTGTGTCAGGCTCTGCACTGACAGCACGGAGCCTGCTTGGGATTCTCTCTCTCCCCCCCTCTCTCTCTCTGCCCATACCCTGCTTGCACACACTTTCTCTTAAAATAAATAAATAAACATGAAAAAAATGATTAAAATTTTAAATTAAAAAAGATGGTTCTTTGAGAACAATAAAATTGATAAACCTCTAGCCAGACTTACCAGTGGAAAAAGAGGAAAAAGATATAATTACCAATATCAGGAATGAGAAATGCAACATAACTACAGATTCTACAGATATTTAAAAAATAATATGGAATTATTATACACAACATTATACCAATATATTCACTAGCTTAGATGAAGCACATAAATTCTTTGAAAGATGCAAACTAACAAATCTTATGAAATAGATATCCTAAATGAAACAGATAACCTAGAGTCCTATCTCCATTAAAGAAATAGAATTTGTCATTAAAACTCTGTCAAAAAAACCCCAAAAGCTTCAGGCTTAATGGCTTCACTGATGAAGTCCACCAAACACTGAAGGGAGAAATAATAGTAATCTGTACAAAATCTTCCAGAAAAGTTAAGAGCTGATAACAATTTCCAACTCATTCTTCAAAGCCATCATAAACGAGACAAAACATTATAATAAACAATACACTATAGCCTAATACCCTACATGAACATAGATGTGAAACCCTAAATAGAATCTAAAAGTTGGTTAAAATGATAATATATGTTTCTGGTTTATCGCAGAAATGCAAAGTTGGTTTAATATTCTAAAAAATAAATATAATTCACCATATTAACAAACTAATAAGTAATATTTATATGATAATCTTAATGAATACAAAAAAATATTTGACAAAAACATCCAATCCTGATTCAAAACCCTCAGTAGTTAGAAAATGTCCTCAACCTGATAAAGGACATCTTTGAAAAAAGCTATAGCTGACATCACACTTTATGATAATAGACTCAATATTTTCTACTTAAGATCAGGAACTAGACAAAATGTCCTCTTTCACCATTTCTATTTAACACAATCCTGGAGGCTCTAGTCAATGAAATAAGGTGAGAAAAGAAATAAAAAGCATCTAGATTGGAATAGAAAAAGTAAAACTGTCTTTATTTACAGCAACATGATATTCTATTAGAAAAAAAATGATGGACTCTACTTAAAAAGCTGCTAGAATAAATGAGTTTATGAAAATTGAAGGATACAACATCATTACAAAAATTAAGCTTATTTCCATAAGCTAGCATCTAACATCAGAAATTCAAATTTTAAAAAATTACCATTTACAATAGCATAAAATATTTAATAACCACTTACTAAGTGCTGGGGTCTACCATACAGTGACAAACAAACAGGGACACTATCTCAAGAAACACTTTAAGTAGGGAAACAAGAACGAAAACAGATCATATACTCTGATAAGTAAAGGGATAAAGATATATGTGGACATTCAGTCAAGAGTTATTAACAATTTTCTTCTATTAGTAATCCTATTTTCCCATTGTCTGAAAACGACCCATAAGTGATCTAAAATTTCATAAACTGGATTAGCACAACCAGGATTCCTAATGCTATTAGGATAGCTCTTTTTCTGATGTTCATGTGCCTAAAGTTAAGAAGATAAGTCATTCCTAATCCACATTTGAGGTTCTTTCGTCTAATCAGTTCTCTGGCCCAGAGAGGGTGAAAAAGTCTGTTCGGAAAGATTTCAGCTGCCCATTCTTCTTTGCATTTGTACCAACTTGCAGAACCTAAGAACTTAAAAGTGTACTAAAGCCTTAAATAGCTAAGGCACCATTAATCCACTAGGGCTGGCCTAGAATCCTCTTTTGTGCTTTGTATGTCTGTGTGAAAAGAGCTAATTAATTAAAATAAGACTATAATCAACATTTTAAGTAAAATATTTTAAATTCTTCAGAGAAACCCAAATTCCTCAAGCACTCATTTAAAAACACAATTTTAAGATCATTCTTGTGCTCAATTCACTAAGGCAGTTATTTTAGTGACCTATACTAACTTGGTTGAACAAACAAATTTTATACTGATCCCCTGGCCATAATGATGCATAGGGTCTACCTTTTTAAAAATATGTCAAAACATACCACACCCAAGCCAGAGACTACAAATAACTTAAACTATTACTCACATGGGCATGTGCAAAGCAAGGGGGATTCCCTGAGTGAGGGGTAGGACCCACTAATAAGAGAGCACTCTGGTATCTACTAGAGAGGAGAGAAGATAGAGTGTGCATGGTCAGGGGACTATATATATCTCTCCTTCCCCATGACATTTTTCAATGATGCCAGGGCAGACTAATTTTGACAGTGGTGGGGAGACAAGAGGGGCAGGATAGTTTGCTCACATGTGATTTATAGAGGTGCAGCAGAAGTGAATGCCAAGATTTTGCTATTCTATTGGTTTTCACCCTGGGGGAGCAGCTGGGGTGGCTGCCAGTTTCCATCCTGACAGGTGTTGAAGGTTTAGCCAAATGCCATTTTGCTGGGTGATTTAATTCTACTACTCAACAATCATAAAGAAGCTCACAAACTAAAGTAGAAGACAGACATGCTAACAATAAAACATAATGTGATACATACAAAAATGAAGTGACATAAAAGTTTCCCAAAAAAGTATAAAAGAGAGAATTCTGTCTGAGGCATCACAGGAAGGTGATGCTCTATCAGGGTGGTGATAGAAACTAGGCATTTACCAGATGGACAAGGGAAGGAAGAAAAGAAAACTTTTTCCAAGAAAAGTTAGCTAGACTCTATGAACAAAAGGAAGCATGAAATGGTACACAATTGATGAGAAGCAATGAGCAGCAGTGAGCAGTTGGTACTTCTGGAGCACAAATGAAAGAGAATGGCAGATGAGGACACAAAGACATATGCAGGGATCAGGGCCTGTGGGTCTTATAGTCATGCTACAGTGCTTAGACTTTATCCAGTAAGTAATGCAGAACTCTTGAAAGCCTCTAAGAATAGAAGGGACATGGTCTAATTTTCCTTTAAGAAGAATCACTCTGACAGTATCATTGGGGGAATGGTTGAAGACACAGATTAGAGGCAAGTTAACTGGGAAGCTTCCAGGAGCATCTGTCTACAAGTTCTAAAATATTATTAAGCATGTAATAAAATTGAGAAGATAATATTTACAAGAACTTAAGTGTGGGGTTGGAAATGATACTTACAAGAAAACAAACTGGAATCATTCTGGAATCAGACTGCTTTGGTTTGAATCCCACCTCCACTGAGCAAGTTCCTTTAACCTAAGAAGAATTCGAGTTGCTACAGGAGGGAAGAAGAATGGACAAGTAAGTCTTACAGAGAAGATGAATATCTTACAGAATTTCAAATTTCATCAGGAACTCTTGATACATCCATTTCCACTCAAATATGCCTCTTATACTATAAGAACAGTTTAACATTCAGTTGCTAAAAATCTTATTTAGTTCTCCATGCATCTGACTACAAAATGGCCCTAATTCTTCATGTCTTCCTGAATCTGTGACCTTGCTATGTGACACTGTAGTTCTCACTAAAGGCAGAGGCTATTTTCATACCCTTTGAGGTATGGGGTGATCCCATGACTTGTTTTGGTTAACAGAAAGTAGTGGAGTGTTATCAGTTCTGAGTCTAGCCCTTAAGCGGCTTGTTGTATTTCTACTTGCTCACTTTCATTTCTGCCATGGACAGAATATGCTCAGGTTACCCTGTTAGACAAACATGTATGGTAAAGCCAATTTACCCCACTCATCCCATCTGAGACCTAGAGATTAACCAACAGCCAGGCAAATCCAATTATGACAGCAAGTCTAGTCAATATCAGCAGATCTACTTAGCCAACCATCCCAGTCACTTAATGTTGTAGGACACTCAGGTTTGTTGATTAATTTTTATGCAGCAATAGATAGATGATAGGCCCCATGACCCCATTTTCTTACATCCCAGGCATATCAATTACATTACACAAAGTCCGAAACTTCTATCTACAAAACAGATCTCAAACCCATCTGCATTGCTCCACTCTAGACTAAAAATCGATACCACCTCACCTGAACTACTACTATTGCTTTCTCTGCTTCCACTCTAGATGCTTATAATCTGTTCTTCAAATATCCGGGAAAGTGATGCAAATCAAATCAGAACAGATTTTATTGTTCAGAATGCTTTAATCTCTTCTCATTGCTCTCAGAATACAATCTAATCCAAGTTCCTTACCATGACCTCTAAGCCCTGCATGGTCAGCCACATGGCTGGGATTATTCTCTCAAAAATGGTTTCTTCAAAGAAATGTGGTATCAGTTCCTACATTTGGTAAATGTACCAAAATATATCAAAAAGAAACAGTTTGGGGTGCCTGGGTGGCTTAGTCGGTTGAGCGTCCGACTTTCGCTTAGGTCATGATCTCGCAGTTCGTGGGTTCGAGCCCCGCTTCGGGCTCTGTGCTGACTGCCAGCTCAGAGCCTGGAGCCTGTTTCAGTCTGTGACTCCCTCTCTCTCTGACCCTCCCCTGTTCACGCTTTCTCCCTGTCTCTCTCCTAGAAATAAATAAAACATTTAAAAAAAAAAGAAACAGTTTGTTTGGCAGACACAGAAACTGAAGATCTTATTTTTCTAAATAACAAAAAATTAAGGTGGAGAATAAGAGGAGAGGAATAAAGAAAGAGTAACAACACATTGGTGATCCAGTGTATAACACTGAAACAACAGAAGGACACAGTTAGATGAAAAGAGATCTTTATTTGGGGCTTTAGAAGCCAAGAGGTCAAAACAATGCTTTGGAAAGGATACAGCCTAGCTATTCTCTGACTTCATACCAAGAGAGAATACAGAGAAATGGGTTATCCCTGAAGTAAAAGATATTAGCTGGAAGATTAGTCATGAATTCAAACTCCCTAAGAATGAGCACTGGTGAATATCACTTAATATTTGTATAGAGTACCTTGAGCTAAAAATGCTTTTGCATACTTCTCTTGTTTTATACCTGAAGAACTCTAGGTTCGGTGAGGTTCAGCGCACAGTAATTAGTTTTCATTTTGGCTTTAATCAAGCATGCTAACTTGATGACTCACATGATCCATGAGTCTATAAGTCTTCCAGGAATGAACTTCTTTGATTTATATTTTTCAAATGGCCCTCAAGCCACTGATTTCTAGGACCGAAACAAGTTGATAAATAAAGGCTACCAAAGATACAAAACTAAATTCAAAAATCACCAAAATCAGTTCCTGTTCTTAAACAGCGTGGCTATTGCGCCAGAATACCAAAGGCAACACAGGGATACCTATGAAAGGCATTTGGTACAGTCATGAGCACTTGTCAGATTGGTTTTCATCCCCCAGAATATGCTCTTCAATAGAAAATGCAGTTTGTCAGTGCTTCATCACTCAGCTGGTATAGGTTTTCTAGCACCTGGCTGTCACAAAGCCATCTGCTTTGGCCCCTTGCAATGGGAGGAAAACACGAAGAAAAATAGCTGGGTTCTGGCATTCCTGGAATTTCTCTTCAGTGGACTGACAGTGGACAGTGGACAGGTATCACAACATGGCCCATAACTCTATTCAAAATGAGACACTTCTGAGAAAATGAAAGCCAACACAAATGGTGCAAGAGATAGAAATTCCTTTTAACATTGCTTCCTAAGGGCGCCTGGGTGGCTCAGTCGGTTGAGCGTCCAACTTCGGCTCAGGTCATGATCGCACGGTTCGTGGGTTCAAGCTCCACGTTGGGCTCTATGCTGACAGCTAGCTCAGAGCCTGGAGACTGCTTCAGATTCTGTGTCTCCCTCTCTCTGACCCTCCCCTGCTCATGCTGTCTCTCTCTCTCTCTCTCTCTCTCTCAGAAATAAATAAAAAACATTAAGAAAAAAACCATTGCTTCCTAAACTGCCTACTCTGCCTTCTCTCACTCTGCCCCCTTTACCAGATATTCTTTCCGTCCTCTCTGTGTCCACACCTTGTGTGTCATATAGATTCCAATTCACTCTATTTCCCTATGAAGCCTTCAAACTATTACAGTCCCCAGTGATCTTTCTTTAATAAATATATAAAAATCAGAATCCATTCTCTCTGCATTGCTAAAACATCTCTCTCTCTCTCTCACACACACACACACACACGCACATATACACACACACTCTATGTACTTCCTCAAGTATTTGTGCCATATTTCAATCCAGAAATCATCCTTTTTCTACCTTTTATTTTCCCAATGCATTTACCAATCACAAAATTTGATCAGTCCACCCCTGAAATATCTCTCAAACTTGATCATTCATATCCAACCCCATGCATCCCCTTACATCAGTTACCTTCACTTGGTTGGTCTCTAATTTATCTTGCTCCAGTCTCTCATTCCAACATATACAATATAATCAAAGTTGTCTTAATATAATGCAAGTCCGATTGTGTACCCTTATGAATAACACATTTTAGTGATTCCCTCTGTTCTCAAGATTTGGGTCTCAATCTCCCTGCCCTTTGACTGGCTACCTTTTACATATTCTTCTTATCTCAGCTTAGAGACTTCCTTAAAAGTCCTCTGGGATAGGATATAGATGTTCATCCTATGTGATACCACAGTATCCTATATTATCATCATTTTACAGAGACAGAGCTCTTAGTTATAAACAATGAAACCAACTTCAGTTACTCAAACAGCACACAAATATTTTAAATATTAGGTAGCTAACAGAATCCCTGAGATGGCTGAAGGACGGGGCTTGGATAATACCAGGCCAGTGATAATACTCCAGGCCCCAATGTAGAATGACTCCATGGAGGCACTAAGACTGCCTTGGAGGGGCAGAGACACAGCTGGTGCTGGGTACTGGATACTACCACGAGTACCTCTGCCCCTTCCTCTGACTGGTGGAGCCCAAATCACAAATCAGTACCCTTACTGCAAGGCAGGCTGGAAAAGTAAGCTCTTGTTTTCTGTCTTGGGGATGCTCAGGTTAATTATTTTGTTGAAGAGCTCTAGGGCGAATAGCCATAACTACTACTTAATTTCAAAATGGATAATGAGTCTCTCAAAACATGTTAAAGTCACCAGCTGGTATCGTATATATTTTGTCTATTTCCTGTAGGCAGTACTACGTCTGTTCCGACAAACAGAGGCTTATGGAAATATGAAGGAAATAAAGCCATCTACTCTCTGAGGGCAACCCACATACCAATGAACAGCAGATCAAGTGGAAAGCAAGCGAGCATTAGTCACAGGCAAGGACATGAAAACAGCTCATCCTTAACAAATCAGAAGGACATAAAGTCCTCAGCCTCACTAGCTGGTGCCAATAAAGCAACCAGAGAGGGTTGGAGGTACTGCAATATGCTCCCATAACACTCCATACTTATTCCAACCATGGCACTTATAACATTTTATTCAATAGTTCGTTAGTTTATTGTTCTCCTTGTAGAATTACAATATATATGATGATGGGGATGATGCCCATCCCTGTCTGGCCCATAGATGATATGTAATAGATGTTTTTTAAAAAATATGTAAGTGAATGAATAAATGAGGGTGAAGATGAGGGCACAGAGGTGGTAGAGGGAGGTGAGTGCCAAGAGAATGGTGCCAGTTTCCAGTGGGGTGACCCGGATCAGCTCAGGCCTGATGCTAACCACTCCCACACAGCTTCTTTCTTTCCAATCCACTTGTCATTCTCTTTGGGAAGGATTGAGGTCTCTGGAAAACAGCCAAAAAACTGTTATGGGAACGGCAAGCCCAAATAATGCTCAAGCATCAGGAGGATCTAAGTGCTGAAAGCCACTTCTGTTCCCCTTCTCTCAGCTGACGGGGTGGGAAAGGGTTTGGAAAGCCCTAACTCCTTTTAGAGAGACTTAGAAGGCATATAAAGGCCCCTGGTCAAGGACTTGCTTCCTCATTCTGCACTTCGTGCCAGAACTCTCAATCCTCCACTGAGAGAAAATGTCCATCCAGTAAGTATCTCTGGGAGATGTTTTTAAATGCTTTAGTGTGTCGATAATAAATGGGCTATTTCAAGAGGTTCTGAAGAGGATTGATGGCCTGTTTATGGGAGGTCCCCGGTCTTGACAGGGGGAATTTCTTTCCATTTATATATTGAAGCAAATATGTAGCATTTGGATCTAAATTACTGTGGGATTTTCGTGAATGGGCCTTGAAAGCAGTTGTAAGCATGAAGATTGTAATGAAGCAGGTCTAGGTTCCAGCCATTTCCTAGCTGTGTGATTTTGGACAAATTACTTAACTTTTTATAATCTATGTTTTCCCATATATAGAATGAGCATAAGAGTAGTATTTACCCCATTGTGGTGTTGTGACATTTAAATGAGCTAATAGCATACAAAGTTCTTTTTATGGTGTGTGGAACATATTAAGTGCTTAATAAAAGACAGGTATCATAATTAGGGAGTCTGATTAGAACTCCCACTCTAAGAAGTTCTAAAATGGAGCCAAAGTGAGGGGGCAGAAAATCAGCAAAAATATGACCTGAATCTCCTAGTTAGACCATTTTTAAAGAGTTCTATAGCTCTTGAAGACTCGTGAGGAAATGGGCTAAGAGGAAGAGATGATGATACAATATAGGTGAATAAAAAAATGAGTTACTAACCCAGAAAGTTGTCATCTCCCACCTCGTGGAAATTCTTTATGAGGCAAGAAAATCAACAGTGCAGTGCACTGTGAATAGCAACAGGGCAGGGTAATTCTGTGGAAAGGACTCTGTCAGGAAGACCAGTGATAGCAACAGGATTAGTTGATTTGTCTTCAGAAACATGGGAAAACTGCAGAAGGCAGAATTAAGTGCTCTGTGACATTAAACGGGAGGTCATTTCCCCTCACATCAAAGGCAGAGGACTGACCCAGGGGCCCTGCCTTGCAAACCTGAGGACTTTTCCAACCCCCCAAATACCATGTGCTCCCAGCAAAGGCTAGACTGGTAGTGGTGCATTGTCATTGATCCAAAGACTGCCTTCTCTCCTGAAGCTGTGCCTCTGTCTCAGTGGACTTCTTTGAGTATCAACTTGGGCTTCTTCCCCATTATTCCACCTTTTCAGAGTTGAACATCCTGCTGGTGGTTACAAGAAACTGTTCGAAACTGTGGAAGAACTGTCCTCACCGCTCACAGCTCATGTTACAGGTTGGTCTCACCAGTCTTGAAACCATCTTTTCTTTGTGGTCGAGATCCCTCTTCCCTGGCTTTTTATTCATTGGCATCTCTCAGTAGTGGCTCCCACTGTGGGCTACAGAGAGGGAAGTCTGGAGCCTTTTTATATCAGAAACCCATTTCCTCTCATTTACCTTTTATTTCCCTTATGTAGAAAAATGCTGCCTTTCTGGAATTCCTTGAGAACTGAGACTACACCTTTGGCATCTTTAAACTACCAATGCCTAACTCAGTGCCTGACACATAGTAAATTTCCTATAAATGTCTGTTCCATCAGTGTCTGGGTAAGTGAGGACCTGGTAACAGGCATCTGGAAAGATTACAATAAAGGGTGGTAGGTTTCATGCCTGTTATATTGCTTCTGGAGTCATACAGATGTAGGTGCTAATTACAGCGCCATTATTTTACTATCTGTGAATCTCACAAGTTACTTAAACTTTCTGAGCCTCAATTCCCTTACCTATAAAAAAAATCCCCTCATGAGGATGTTGTGAAGATTGAATAAGACTAATTGAATGATTCACCTAGTATCCAAACAAAGCAATCAATAAGTGGTTATTATTACTAATGTTAGCATCATTCAAAGATATCATATGACCTATACAGCATCCTTGCTTGGATATGGCAAGACTCTTTCCCCCATTTCCTCTTCTGTAAAATAGAAGAGATGACCCAAATGCTCTTTCTCCGCTAGATTCTGATGCTAACAATTTAGGCTTTAGCAATGAAATTAATGTTATGCCTTTAGTTAAGTCATGCTTTCTTAAAGATTTTATCAGAGATATAAGTTCTTATGAAGCAGACTGCTGAAATATAACTGTAGGAAACAATCCATTTGTTTAAAAAAGTTGTTAAGGATTAAGCAAACATTGCACTTTTCAGTGGATAAAAGGGCACCAACCTTACTGCTTAAACTAAAAGCCTTAGGCCTCTGTTATAGACCCCCCATCTTGCAGATGAGGACACTGAGCCCCTGAGATATCACATGGCAAATCCTGAACCAGAATTCAAGTCTTTGACACCCAGTCTTGTGCACTTTCTGCTAACAGCAGGTTAACCTTCATCTGGACAGCAGCCCATACCCTCAATGGAATATTGCTTTAGATTTCAAAAAATCAGAATTCTTGTTATTTAAATGCTCTCCTCTATAGAAAGATCTTTTTTATAGTGTTTTGATCCCTTCTCCTAGTCTACCTCTCTTATTCCTCCCTCCATCAAAATATATCAAGAAATTTCAAATTTTTCTTAAAAGGCAAATGTATTGGTATCTAGGGAAATGTTAGGTGGAAAATCCATTTTCTTCAAGGTCCTTTTCCTTGTCTCCTTCCAACTCTTTATCCAAAGTCAGGCATTACGACACTTCCCACCACCTGGTCTCCTAATGAAAGGAGAGTCAAGTCAACAGGCATATTGTCAGGGCTGCCCAGCATGAGAGGTGGGAATGAAAATCACTGCCAGCTTTACAAAGAGGCTGCCCAATTGAGCTGCTAATATAATCACTGCACCTTACCAGGGATGAGCCCAGCAAAGGGCAGATCAAAAAGCAATGATCTATGTCTCACCTTCATCACAGGAAGTATCCCCCTCTGGCTCACTGGCAGTCTCCTTCGATGTGGGCCAGGACTCTTTGAAGTTGGATCTGAACCATTTTACCACCTGTTCGATGGGCAAGCCCTCCTGCACAAGTTTGACTTTAAAGAAGGACACGTCACGTATCATAGAAGGTAAAGAATGCTAGGTCCTACTCCTCCTAGGGTGAGACCTAGCTCAGCTCTTCCTCCTATGTGCTCTGAACCTCTTGAACCCAAGAGGGGACCTATATATTTGATTACTCTCAGAATCCACTGGGCCAGTGCATTTGCATAGGCAGCTGAGAACTGTGCTGATAAAGAAGAACCTAAGACCTAGGGCTTTGGGGTCGTACATGCCTGGCTTCAAATTCTATATCTACCAGACACTACTTGTCTAGGTAGGCAATGTTTGGCAAGATGTTAATCTCTAATTCTCGGTTTGTCATCTCTAAAATGAGAAATAATAGCCTACTCCAGGATTCATTATAAGTATTAAGTGAAGCACCTGGGAAGCATTCAATAATAATAAGTTGTTGTTATTATTACAGTTACTGTTACAGTTATTAAACCATTGGCTCTCTTGACTCCTTTTCTTTTTTAATAATCAGAAAGGCCCCTGGGAAGGAGGGAGCAGTGGCACAAAGAGGGAAGGACCAAATTATGTCATAATGATATAAGAAAGAGAAGTTTTCCAAAAACAGGGGATTGTTGCTAAAAGGCTTGAAGGCTTAAGCCATCACTCCAGGAAGTACCCATTAACACCACAATAAATAGTCTTATGCTTTAATATTCAAACCTGTTAGACACTTTGTTGATCACCACAGGTATAAGGAATTCTGAAGACCAAATGGAGGCTTGAAGTAGTCAGGATAACTCAGAAAGTAATAGAAGAGAAATAGATTAGGTCAAGCAAAAATTTAGCTAAGAAGTCAAAGAAAGCTTTCATATGCTCCCTAAAGACCTTGGTACTTTTTCCTCTCCATGACTTTGTTTCTTCATCTGTGAAATTTTTAAACAGTTATTATACGGATTGGAGGAAGTACAAAATCAGATTTTAATTGATTTTCCACGTGAGAAATCCTAGGCAATGTATGGGATATGGTTCGGGAGTTTTGCCTTTGCAAGATATTGGATTCAAGAATGCCCTACTTTTAAAACTTGCAAAATAAATTTTAAAATTGAAAAAAAAACCCAAGAGTGACATAAGGGAGATTGAAAAGAATATAATTCGGCACACTATTTCTCCACTCAATGTAGGTTGATGGATTATAGGCTACAGGAAGTCAGGGGCCCTAAGTTAACTACTCACTGCATAGTATGATATGGAGAAATGCATGTCTCCTGGCTTGGGTTGACTTGAGTTCTAACCTAGCTTCATTACTTATGCCAACCACTTAATTTCCCTGCTTGGACACAGCAAGTCTAAGCCATGAGCCTCAATTTCCTCATCTGTCACTGGGAGGTTTATAAGACATAAATTCAAGCTCATAGCATTGTCTCTCTCTTTCTTAGTCACCCTGAGAAAGTAACCTAACAATACTCTTTATTCTTCATGCTGTGGACTTAGGATTCCAACTTGATAAGAACACACAGAATGACCATTCTTGGCTCCATATGGACACACCAACTAGCCCTGCCTATGACCCATAGCTTTGCCATGTCTCTGTGTCCTTCAGGTTCATCCGCACTGATGCTTATGTACGGGCAATGACTGAGAAAAGGATCGTCATAACGGAATTTGGCACGTGTGCTTTCCCAGATCCCTGCAAGAATATATTTTCCAGGTTACTGACATTCAACTGCATGTTACTAAAGACGTTTTACATTACCCTTTTTCTCTCATGGCTTGGAGGTTATTGGACTGAAAACTCCATTTGTTTCTGCAGGTTTTTTTCTTACTTTCGAGGAGTAGAGGTCACTGACAATGCCCTTGTTAACATCTACCCAGTAGGGGAAGATTACTATGCCTGCACAGAAACCAACTTCATTACAAAGATTAATCCTGAGACCTTGGAGACAATTAAGCAGGTAGGACAAAGCGCTCAGGCAACATTGGTCAAGAATCTAGAATTTGCAACCTAGCATTAATTGTGCAGTTTCGGGGAAAGAACATGAGAACCAGAAAGATTGTTTTACCTCCTTGCTTTGTCATCAACTACCACCTATGTGACATAGGGAAAACTTTGTTTCTTCATCTATGAAATTTTAAACACATAATGTGGGTTGGAGGAAAACCTTATAAAATGCCTAACGTATTCATTCATTCATTTGTGACACAAATATTTATTGAGTCCCTTCCATGTATCAAAACGTATAGTAGATGCAAAGGACACATCAATAGGTAAGACAACATGGGTAAGACAAAAATTTGGAGTAAGTTGTTGAGCTCATGAGAAGCTACTGAAAATTTTTGCTTAGAGAAATGGTATAAGCAGAGCTGTGCTTTAGGGTATTTAATCTGGAAGCTGTGTGGGAAGAAAGAAGAGATAAGGGATGGTTAGGAGACCAGTTGGAGGAATTTAAGACTAAAACTAGAAATTCAGTGTAGTATAAATAGAAAGAAAGAATAGTCTCAACACTAAGTCTCTATATCACTAGCTGATTGGTAATTCTTAGCAGACTATTTACTAAGGCTTAACATATACTCTCAATAGCTCGTTTTTGGTTTTAATGTACGTTTGTAATCATATAAGAGTATGTGTTAGATCATTTAAAGAAGAACTGAAGTTGAGTTCTTTTTTTTAAGTTTATTTAAGAGAGAAAGCATGTGAGTACAAACAGGGGAAGGGTATGGGGGGAGGGGAGAGAGAATCCCAAGCAAGCTCCCTGCTGTCAGTGCAGAGCCCTGAGTGTCTCAGGGGGCTCGAGCTCACAAACTGTGAGATGAAGACCTGGGCCAAAATCAAGAGTCAGCTGCTTATCTGACTAAACCACCAGGCACCACTGAGCTGAGGTCTAAACCATTCATTTAACTCTGATAAGTGAACCAATACTCAAATTGCTATCATAATATAATTGCAAATATAATGTTCATGTATGGCTTCAAAGTAGCCTTTATTAAGGGTCAGGTTTCCATTGTCAACAGCACTGTAACCTGACTTCATATAAAACTATAGTTTTAAAATTTGAAACTCTTAATTACTATTACTAAAATAGTTTCCTAACCAGCGCCTTTGTCTCTAGCCTGATTCTCTTAAACACAACTTCCTTAATTCAGTATAAGCAATTTTTCTAAAATATAGTATAAATGTGTTACTGTATCTGAGGCATCCACAGTTTCTAAAATAAAGTCCAAACAGGGCTTTGTGACTGGCTGATTCTTACTTCTCCTCCCACATTCATGCCTTTCACAGCAGCTACATTCAATGACTAGTAATCCCCAAACGGCACCTGCTATTTCACAACTCAATGCCATATACATTAGTGTTCCCACTCCCCAGAACACACTGTCATCCTTCTCCACCTGATTAACTTTTACTTGTCTTTCAAGCATTAGTTGAGGTCATTGGCATTGAGAAGACCTGCCTAATTTCCCAGCCTGGGTTGGACGACTCTTTTCTATAGATGCCATTTTGCATTTACCAGCAATGCACTATATTGATACACAGTGATATCAAGTAGAACTTTCTACAATGATGGCAGTGTTCTATATATCATTGTCCAAGTGCTATTGAGCACTTGAAATGTGGCTAATATGACTGAGGAACTGAATTCAAAGTTTTATTTAATCATAATTAATCCACATTTTAATTACTACATGTGGCTACTATATTGGACAGCACAAGTCTAGACTACAGTTCTTGAAAGCAAAGACCATCTCTGTTTTCCTAGACCCTGGCACAGTAATAATAGTTCAATGAGTACTTGATGAATGAATGGATGTCTTGCCTATTATTTAAATAAGAATGTGGGAAAAAAAAAACCCTTTAAAACACATTCCCCTAATCAAATAGAAAGAATTGTGGTTAAATAAATATATATCTCATCAATTATTCATTCAATAAAACTGTACTGAGTCAGTCCCAGGTAGAAATTCTAGTGCTGATTTTGCCAGGATGTGGCTCTGTATCCTTGAAAAAGTCACTTGACCTGTCTGGGACCTCAATTGCTCTTTCTATAAACAGAGGGGTTTATGATAGATTTGTGATTCTGAATTTCTTATGAGACTCCAAATTGAATTAAAGAGCTAAATCTTCTCTCCAACAACATTTGCATTTAATTCCAGGAGATTCATGGTTCTCCTGAAGTCTATTTAGGTTAAGACTCTATACTAAATAGAAGCCTGGGGTTTCTTTCAGTTGCAAATTTATACTCTTTGCAAGACAATGGGTTTGGTATTTAGGTTATACTACACAAAACTATCACTTTTGTAAAATAAAATTATTGCATATAAGCAATTTCACACAATTCATCTAATACAATAAGGAGGATATAAAGAAATCCCATGATTCACAGTTTCACTTTTGCATGGGCAAAAGGAAAATAACTAACTAGCGCAGTGTTTGGTATACACTGAAGAGCGTAGTCAGAGACATCTCCAATATTTCAGAGGTGTGGGGGAGTCAGCCTGGGAGTCAGAGGAGAGCTCTGCACTGAAAACAGGAATGCAGGTAGACTTGAAAGACTGTAGAACCCAGAAAGATGCAAAGAAAGAGAAAAGGCACTAAGGATGAGGCTGCAAGTGGTAGCAGTGAGGTCAGGCCTAAGGACCAAAGGGGTAGTACAATCTTTCTCTTTACATGGATGACCTCTGCTCTCCATCCACAGGTTGATCTTTGCAACTATGTCTCCGTCAATGGAGCCACTGCTCACCCCCATATTGAAAGTGATGGAACTGTTTACAACATTGGTAATTGCTTTGGGAAAAATTTTTCCATTGCCTACAATATTGTAAAGATCCCTCCACTACAAGCAGGTCAGTTTACCAATTTGACTCTTCCTAAAACAAGTATCTACATTATGAGAAAGTTACCTGAAATACAGGATACGAGATCAGAATACCAGGATAGCACTATATATGCATGGTTAAATTATTGTCAGATTGCCCTTGCCCCTATCCTACCAGGGATTGATGGCCAAGGGCATCTTAGCAGAAAATGACAACTTGAAAATACAGATAGCGAGTGGCCAAGTTGTATTCTACCATGTTTCAAAAATATTGTGTATATGTGTATTTTATCATATAAGAGTTAGATTCAAAATCAGGAAACACTTATTGAGCACTTATTCATGTGCCAGGCAAAATTAAATTTTTAAATCAATCTATGTGTATGCATCATTGCATGTACACATATATGAGAGTTTACTATTTTTTGTGTGTTTAATTCCCAAAACTCCAAACAAATATATTAACTCATATCAATATTATAAAGAAAGAATATTAAAGCAGAAAAAAGAGTACTCTTTAGAATTATCCATTCATCCTCCATTCATTGCCAGAAATTTGATAACCCTATTGGTGACAGAATTATTTGAATAAAAATGGACTGTTGTTACTATTTAAGAAGTTCTTATGTCATCCTGATGCACACTAAGGTTTAAAGACCACTGACCCAGCAATAAACAAACTTTAATGTCCTTAAGAATTACTGTACAGAGCTAATACTATATACTACACATATATACTATACTTTGTAGAAAACAGATTATAAAAGGCATTTTGACCATATGAAAGTTTTCCCTTACTCCCTGACTTAGCACCTACCACCTCCAGTTGTAAGATGTGACTCTACCGTACTCTGCCTGCCACAACAACATCTGACAACAACATCTGAGTGCACTTTTTCCAAATCTGCTGCTATTTGGATTTTCCTGGGTGACTGCAGCTTCACATGAAATTTCCCTAAGAAATGCCATGACTGAGAAAATGAAAATAAGCTCTAAAAAACTCAAAACCTGAAAATGTATTTCTTTACTTGCATGAGCTGTTCTAAATGCTTTGTATTAAAAGAGAAAAGAGAGGCTTTTTCCAAAGCCTTTTAAAACCGCTTTATTTCAGACAAGGAAGATCCAATAAGCAAGTCAGAGGTCGTTGTACAATTCCCCTGCAGTGACCGATTCAAGCCATCTTACGTCCATAGGTAACTTGAAGGCCTGCTATGAATCTTCAGGAAAACTCAAGTTTAAAGATCTGCTTTGCCTACCTTTGATACCAATCCTGATCATGACATTTTCTTGCAGAAGCCTAAATTTAAATGTAATTAATTTCACGTAGGCACTGTTGATTCATATAACTGAGCATACCTCATGTGCACGTATTTCTTTGTGGTTTAAAAATCAGCCCTTCCCATTCACAAGTTTATTTGTGTTTCTAAACAGTTTTGGTTTGACTCCCAACTATATTGTTTTTGTGGAGACGCCAGTCAAAATTAACCTATTCAAGTTCCTTTCTTCATGGAGTCTTTGGGGAGCCAACTACATGGATTGTTTTGAGTCCAATGAAACCATGGGGGTAAGCCTTATATTTATTTGCCAGATTTATGATTCTGAAGAAGGTGTTTCATAATGTATACTGTTTTCCTTTTTAAACCTGTCAAAATATTTTCCTCGCTTTTCAAGGTTTGGCTTCATATTGCTGACAAGAAGAGAAGAAAGTATCTCAATAATAAATACAGGACCTCTTCTTTTAATCTCTTCCATCACATCAATACTTATGAAGACAGTGAGTTTCTGATTGTGGATCTCTGCTGCTGGAAAGGGTAAGGAAGGACATTGGATAATGTTATATTTCCAGTCACTCCTAGAAATTAGGGACCTTTTTCAGAGATGCTGCTCTCAATATTTAATCCAAATTACAATTAAAAAAAAAAGAAGTAGGCTTAAGTCACAGAATATAATTGAAAAAGCAGTAGGGAGGCTAGGTAATCAGAAGCACTCACAAACTTAACAGTAAAACCATGGTTAATGATTGAAAACTGATCGGGTCTATGAACATGGCCTGAAACTAAAACGTGTTATGACTTGATAAGTAAATTTAAACTTAACTTCACTGCAACTTGACAAGATCCCTTGGGGCTGAGGGGTGGGGGGAGGGGGACTTGAACTCTACCCACTCTGGATTTGAAAGAAAAAGGCATGCTTTTTCAGAATACCAAGTCACTAAAAAGACAGTAGCCTTTAAAAAACAGGATCATGATGAAGAAGCAGAACAGAAAGTATCATGAGGCTGCTATTATTTATATGTATCCATGAGGCAGTTTTGTTTGCTTGTTTGATTGCTTTTCATGCAGCATGAGCATGGGCAGGAGGATATGGCTCTAATATACCTGGGTCATTAGCAGTTTCTGAGTTGGATAATAAAAGGACAAGCAAGTGCTTGTTCGTTTAAAAGGCATCGATTGTCTCTCTGAAATCATTCGCAATTGTCTGCGCTCATGTCTGACTTCTTACTTTTGCAGATTTGAATTTGTTTATAATTACTTATATTTAGCCAATTTACGTGAGAACTGGGAAGAAGTGAAAAAAAATGCCAGAAAGGCTCCCCAGCCTGAAGTTAGGAGATATGTACTTCCCCTGAATATTGACAAGGTAACCGCCGTCTACACAGATTTCAGATATAACCAGAATGTTTCATCTCTTCAGGATTTATTCTCCTGCCTTATGTTTATACATAGAATCTTGGAATTTCAGAGCTAGAAGGAACTTTAAAAATATACTAATTCAACTCCCCTCACTTAACAAATGAGGAAACAGAAGGTCTGAAGAGTGACATGACTTAGCAAAAGCCAACAGCAGCAGAGCTGTGAATAGTGAATAGTGCAGACCACTGGTGCCTAGGATCCTTTGTCAACAGTATAAATAATTTAATTCAAATAGTTTGAAATTCTAAAGAAATGAAGCATTAAAAAGTACCCCTGTAGGGAAATCAGCCCATTATTTTGGTTTTCTGCAAACCATCTGAAGATATCACTATAGAATAATAGAATAAACACCATTAATAGCCGTTGGCAGTCATCTTTTCATCTCTCTGCTTTTTCCTCCTTGCATTCAGTGGCTCTCTTTTTAGAATATTAGATTAACATCAAGAAATTTTAGTGTGATGGAATACCTATCAATGAAAATCAATAAAAATATAATTTTCACAATAGATACATGAACATAACCTGTCATTTATGTATATGTAAGATGTACACATAAAAATGGGTAAGGCAGCTACATGGAATGTAAAACACTGTACTCAAAGCTTAGATCAGATGTACTGGAAAATAAACCAAATTTAGAACTAGACACTACTGCTCTTAAGCAAGCTTATAAGCTCAGTGAACAATGAGAAAGGAAGAGGAGGTTAAGGCAGGGTAAATGAGCTTCTACAATGTCAGGGAGGGGTTTGAAAAAGCAAAACTTGATATAGAAGTGTAAAGAAGGTGGTGGAGCTAATACATTAGGAGCATGGGGGGATGGGCATGGGGTAGAGGGTCTGGAAAGATAGACTGGAATCATATTGTATGGGACTTTAAGCACTTCTAACTTTGCCCTTAGGAAGTATATCTCTGGTATACGTAGCTGCCCATAAAATACCAAATGGAGGAGTCCATTGATTTTAGTGAACTCTTATTTTACTAGAAATGGTAAAATCACAACCATTAAATTAAGGAAATAAAATATCATTTAACTTAAATATTCCTTACCACAGTGTCTTCACATTCAAAAAGAGGAAAAAGGAAAGATTTTCCTAAATGTATAGTCATTGCTGTCTGAAGAAAGACCACCCAATTGTAAAATAGGAAACTTCAGTGATGATGAAAAATGGCTCATGTCACCCAAGACCCTGCCTTCACTTTCTTCCAATAGTTATTAATTCCCACTGTAACATAGGATCATACTAATTATTTCAGTGGGTACATCAATAGGATATGCTCTTGTTCTCCTGGAACTCATCACCTAGTGTGGTAGGGAGGAGGAAGGTGATTCAGTAATGATAACACATGTCAGCATGAGACAAGTAGTGTGAGGGAGGCATAAATTGCTTTGGCTATTCAGAGGATGGAGCAGTCACACTTGTTTGAAAAGATTCATGGAACACAGTCATTTGCAATATTCTGGCAGAAGAGATGAAATTGAAGCAGATCAACTTAAGACAGAAATAATAGTTTGAGGCAAAGCAGAAGTGGGGAAGGGCAGAAAAGCAGAGGGAACTGACTGTAATCCAACTAGTTAGAACATAAGCATAAGTAGTGGAATACATTGGTGGGGGATAAAAAAGAAAAGCTTAAAAAGCAAGCTGGGTGGCTCAGTTGGTTAAGCATCTGACTCTTGATTTTGGTTCAGGTCATGATCTCATGGTTTGTGGGATGTAGCCCCATTTTGGGCTCTGCTCTGTGAGTGCAGAGCCTGCTTGGGATTCTTTTCTCCCACACTCACTCTCTCCCTTCCCCACTCACACTCATTCTCTCTCTTAAAATAAATAAACTTTAAAAAAGAAGGCTAGTAATCTTTGGAAGCATTTTTTTAAGTTCACTTATTTGAGAGAGAGAGCACAAGCAGGGGAGGGACAGAGAGAAAGAGAGGTAGAAAGAGATTCCTAAGCTGACAGCGCAGAGCCCTATGTGCAGCTTGATCTCAGGAACTGTGAGATCATGACCTGAGCTGAAACCAAGAGTCAGAGGATCCACAGATCTTCAGACTGAGCCACACAGGCACCCTTTGAAAGCTTTGAGGCCATATTAAGAGGTGCTACTTTATTTGGCAGGTGATGGGAGACAGTGAAAGCTTCTGAGCAGAAGGAAACTATATTCAGAGCTGGTGGACTGGGTACCAATTGTACTGATTTTCATGGTTATCTTTACTACCAAATGTCTGTCTTCCCTGACCACGTCACTCAATCACTCTAAGTACAGTTGCCTGCTCTGAAACCTAACTAAAGCAGACTAAATAATAACTAGGGTCATTTCTAGCTTTAATAACTTGATTTTCAAAAATAAATTTGTGAATAAGTAATACTGGAAGTGTAAAAAGGACAGAGATAGGGACCTGGGATAGGAGACAATTAAAATCATTCAGGCAAGAGAAAAATGTAGTAGTACTAGGAACAGGCAAACACAGACAAAAATAAGAGCTCCTATAGGTGAAATTAAAAGGGTCTTGCATTTGATTGGATGGATAAATGAATTAAATCTTTGATATGCAAAATATCATAGAGATCCTGTAAGCCTAAGTGTCTAGAATAGTGATACCTTTGGAAATAGGGAGCAAAGCAGGTGTGGGGACAAATATGAATTGCAAAACTATGAGAAAGGGAGAGGATAATGAGTAAGGAGGTTGATTTCATGTCAAACAGAGCCAGGCTTGAGTTTCAGCTCTGCAACTTAATAGCTGGGTGATTTAACCTTAAATTTCTTTCTCTCTGTCTCTAAAGGGAAACATTTAGCCTTCTTAAATTTCCTTTTCTCTATTTATAGCCATCTAACTGGGTTGCTGTGTCTGATAAATGAGTTAATACATATCAGTTATTAAATAGAGCCCTTGACACAAAGTAAATGTTAAATAAATATTCGTTATCATCATCATCAACAACAACAACAAAATCAGTATCGAAACATCTTCATGAAAGATGCTTCATGGACTTTCATACATCAATGCAGGGTCTTGAGAGATCAATTAGGGTTGATAGTTACTGATATTGAAATGATTATCAAATATATGAGAACATGTAGATGAGATTACTAGCAGGAAAAAAATGAATCTCACTTCAAAATACATTTTCTAAAAGAAACTTACCCATTTACTTATTCAAAAAATGAGGAACTTGATAGTCTAGAAAATGCTGAGAGAAGAAACAATGGCCAGGCATGGAAATTTGGGAAAGTGTCATATACAGAAGGTGGTATAAAAAGAGGGACCAGAAAGGGAGAGAGAGAAAAAGTCTTTAAAGAGCCCTAGCTAGAGCTAAGAGAGGGCAAGACCTCTCTGGATAGGGCAAGAGGGTTTCATCAGTGCCCACTGCTATGGACAAATTAAAAGGATGAAGACCATAAACCACACACTAGATTTGTGATCTCCAAGGGAGGAGGGTGAGAGAAGCAGAAATCAGGATTAAAGGCACTGAAGATGAGCAACTGGTATGTGGGAGCACTTCCTGTAGTCCACACTGAAAAGTTTGGCAGTGAAGGGAAATATTGGTCATAAATTAGGAGAAGCAGAGATAAGAAAGAGATTGAGGGAAGGGCTAAGGAGAGGAAAGAGTACAAGATGAGTGATGTTTCCAGTTTACTGATTAAGATGATGGTAGCATCTTTAAAATATATCTTTATTTTTATTGAATAGGCAGTGCATTTAAGTGGTCAAAAATCAAAATGATATAACAAAGTACACACTGAGAAATCTCACTCCAACTTCTATCTGCATCCAATCCATACCACCCCCATTCACTTTCATGTTTTCCTCTCCTTTGGTTTGTTTATGCAAATATAAAAAAATCACATATATGTGTGTATATATATATATATATATATACATATAATTATTATTTCCATTCTCATACACAAAAGTAACTTTCTATATCCACTGTTTTGTGCCCTGCTTTTTTCATTTAACAATATATGAAGAAGATCTTGCTGTTTCCAACTGCACAGTATCCTGTTTGTGAACACACCCAAGTCCCACAGTGCTGAGCAACAGAACTGTTTCCAATTTTGGCTGTTATAGATAATGTTATAAGGAATAACCTTGTATATGTGTTATTTCACACATGTATAGATATATGAACAGGATAGAACCTTAGGAGTGAGATTTCAGAGTTAAAGGATAATTGGGGTTTTTTTTAATTACTTATTTCTGAGAGAGAGACACACAGCGTGAGGAGGGGAGGGTCAGAGAGAGAGGGAGATACAGAATCTGAAACAGGCTCCAGGCTCTGAGCCAGCTGTCAGCACAGAGCCCGACGCGGGGCTTGAACCCACAAACCGTGAGATCATGACCTGAGCTGAAGTCGGACGCTCAACCGACTGAGCCACCCAGGTGCCCCAGATCTATTTTTTTTTTTAAAGTGGGGGGGAGGTTGAAAATGAGGAGCTAGTTTGTTGGGGAAAGCAAAAGTAATGTTACAGACTTCTTACATAAAAACCTTATTTACCAATAAAAAAATAAGATAGAATGAAGATAATCAATTTAAACTTAAAGTTCATAAATAATAAGTCTGACATAAGCATTTGATCTCTTCTACCCAAAAACGCCACCAAGAGCCTTAAGGCTCCATTTCACAAAATGTCATAAAACTCTCTCCATTTCTCTATTTGCCCCCTTATCTCCCATCCCTTCTCTATGCTAAGAATCCTCTACTATTTCCTCTTAATACATAATACACCACCAGAAAAATCCCCTCTATCCTCCTCTCAGAATGTTCCCCTTACTTTTTTTTTTTTTAACCTGGCTCTCTTCTGAGGACACTGATCTCTCCAGCAGCAGTCTCCAGTCTTCTACACCCCTTATACCACTTGGCCTCGGGTTAGGGTAGGTGTTCTCTTTGTCCCATTTTTCTGCATCCAGATTCACTGTTCCTTCCATTCACTGTTTAAATATCCTAATTTTTAATCTTGCTTAAGCTAATTATATAGTCAAGTGATATATACACTGCTCATTCCCTCATTATTGTTGTCATCTACAAACCACCACTCACTCACTTCCCCTCCTGGCTCAGTGTCACACTCCCCAGATCTACTCCTAACTCTTGGTCATCTCCATATACACATCATAGGTGATTCTTCCAACAACTTGGCCTCTCAGTTCCTTGACCTCTTCCAGTGATCATGGCTTCCATTCTATCTCAGCCACTCACTCCCCATAGTCACACACTTGATCCTGCTATTACTTATGACTGTGCTCCTTTTAAAATCTTAGGTTTGTGTATGACATACCCTGACTATCATCTCCCATCTTTAAAGATCCCTTGTCTTACTGTGATTCTTGCCAGGAACCTCCAATCCACTGAACCTACTACCTTCTCACTATATCTCACTCCACTGAGAACTTACCTTTCCTCATTACTTAACTAAAATTCCATTGTCAACAATTAAAATCTTATATAGATCTTCATTTCTCTTACCTCTCTTACTTTATTGGATTCATTTGTCAAAACCACAATCCTAGTTAAATTCAACTCCCCACCTACTCTACACTTGTACCTCTAAGGCTGAAATTAGGTACTGAAAACACACAATCATGTTAATTGGTTCATTTTTAAATATATGACCACAAACCTCACGGCTACATTTCTCAACTTCATTTACTCTCCCACTGTGCTAGTTAAGTATTTCACACCCTCCTCTTTTCAAACTTCTAACACCTCCCACTTCCACACTCATACTCAGCTGATGGCTCTGCTTCCTATTTTATTGAAACAAATGAAAGAAATCAAAAAAGAACCTTATACTCCTGCTACATCTACCCACCCACCAGCATCTGTACTTGTATTGAATTATCTATCATCCCACCCAGAACTAGTCCTTCCCATTTTCCCTTCCTTGCCCACTCAAGGACATCACCCAAGCAATTCTCCCCTTTCCTGTATCATTACTCTCCCTTCTCATCGGACCACTCATATCCTGCTATTACTCCCCCTCTTACAAAATCCTTCCCTTGACTCTTCTTGGCCCCATCAGCTATCCTCATTCCTCTTCTTGTAGATCTACCTCTTAAGGTTGGAGCGCACTAGAACTCAGCCCTTCGTTTATCTTCTTTTTGTACATTCACTCCTTTTGTAAAGATTCATACTTTAAAGCAGCCTATATTTACATTTTCAACTTCCTTTCAAGTTTCATATATGCTACTACCAACTCCATGTCTCCGTTTGGATGTCCAATAGATGGCTCAAGTTTAGTAAGACAAAATCTAAATTTCTCCTCTTCCTCTACCAAAACATTTACCCCACATGTGGTAGTCCACATCTTTGTTGTGACAGCTCCAACCTTAACTGTTCAGGCCAAACGCGTTGGAGTCATCCTTGACTCCTCTCTTAATTTCATGCCTTTTCCATACCCCATAGCCTATCTATCAGGAAAACCTCATGACTCTGCCTTCCACTTCTCACTGACTCCAGTGTTCCAGCCTAGTCTGAACTACTGTTTGCTTTTGACTGGACTGCTACGTGACAGACTAGTTTCCCCAACTGCACTCTTGCATCCCCCTACTCTCAAGGGTAGGTTCAACACAGCAGGTTGAACACAGTGATTCTTTTAAATGTCATAGCATGTCAATCCTCTGCCCAAAATCATTCCATGGCTTCCCATCTCTCACTCACAGTAAATGACCAAGTCCTCACAATGACCTATAAACCTGTACACAAGAGAGCTCTACCCTCTTCTCCTGCTCCTCTTCCCCAGGCTCAATTAGTTGCAGCCACACTGGTCTCTTTAATGTTCTTCGTGCATATTTGGCATCCTCCTACCTTGGGCCTTTGTAGTTTATTCTCTTTGTTTAAACGTTCTCCCTGCATTTCTTCACCCCCTGCAGGTTTTGTCCCAAATGTCACTTTTTCAATGAGGCCCACCCTCACTGCCGATTAAAATCGTAACTCATCTACCCTTCACTCTTTTGATCTTCCTAACTCTGCTGTATATTTTTCACCCTATATTCATGATACACTATACACTTTTTAAGTATATTTATTGTTTATGTTCCCCAACTAGAATGTAAGCTTCATGAGGACAGGGATTCTATTCTCTGAAATATCCCAAATGTCTGAAACAGAATCTAGCACAAAACATGTACTCTAGTATTTGATACATGTATAATAAATAAATATGTTCTTAGAAAGAACTCACGCTATCCTTTCATAAAAATCTGAAAATCACAGGGTGGGGTAAAGGGTTGCCAGAAGATCTTATACAACATCTAGTCCAGGAGTTTTTCTACATGTTTTTTTTTCTTTTTGATAGTGTAATTATATGATTTTTTTCAAGCAAAATCAAAATGTATCTTAACTATAAAGGAGATAAACACTGTGAATGAGTCTCTAGTGTTTGAAGTCTTTTGTCATTCTACAGGAAAACATTTTTTTTTCCTCAGAGGTCCTCCCTTAGAACCCTAAATTTTCTTTGAGGACAATTTCCTTTTACAGATATGAAGATTAAGGGCCTAGAGTTTCCACAACTTTCCCAGGGTTACACAGCCAGTGACTGGCACAGGCACAGACAGCTTTCCCAGTCATGTGCTTGGGCTTACCTGCCTGTGGCTGTCTACACTGCTCTCCCCTACACGTCGACTTAAAAAACTAAGAACTCAGGAGACAAAACTCAGGAAGACTGCATTTATGGCTGCTTAATTTTTCCTTCCTTCCCACTGAAGTTTCTGTTATCCTCTTTCCTTAGGCTGACACAGGCAAGAATTTAGTCACACTCCCCAACACAACTGCCACTGCAATTCTGTGCAGTGACGAGACTATCTGGCTGGAACCCGAGGTTCTCTTTTCAGGGCCTCGCCAAGGTGAGATGATCTAGCGAGGGAACAAACTATTCTATTCAGAAACTAACTGAGTTTTCCTAAGCATGCCCTCTATTTTGCAGCATTTGAGTTTCCTCAAATCAATTACCAGAAGTATGGTGGGAAACCTTACACATACGCATATGGACTTGGCCTGAATCACTTTGTTCCAGACAGGGTAATTAATCCATCTTACCTAATGCTAGAAAAATAGTTTGTGTCCTATACTAGTCAAGTAAAGTACATTGACTAATTAATTGATTGTTTTTTCTTTCTTACAAGCAGCTCTGTAAGCTGAATGTTAAAACTAAAGAAACTTGGGTATGGCAAGAGCCTGATTCATACCCATCAGAACCCATCTTTGTTTCTCACCCAGATGCCTTGGAGGAAGATGATGGTAATGAAAGCAATGGATATGTCTGAACACCTTCTTTTTGTTGAAATTCTATATATTAGTGCATTAGGAGAGAAGCCACGGTGATTACTCCCTAACGTTCAGATGTTATCCTTGATACTACTGAATGGGAAGCACTAAAGAATTTAAACTTACTTGAAAATAAGTTTCACCTGGGGCCAATCTCATTGATTACTCATGGAAAAATGTTAAAGCACCATCTATGTCATAGTGGAACATCAATGTCTATTCTAGACAAAGGGAAGATGAAGAGAGAACAGCATGAATTCTATGTGTTTGCCTTTTCTGATTTAGATAAATTTCTGAAAAAGGGTAGAGTTCTATGGAGAGAAATTGAGTTTTCTAACAGATCAAAGAGAACGAGAATGAGACTTTATGCCTCTGTTTTGGGTTTGTTCTTTTAGTAAGCCAGAGCTACAGCCTATAATACAGCAACTCAATTACAAAGCATCCATCTTTGTTAACTATTGATTAGCTGAGACAGGAAGGTAGATTATACTCTCAAATTAAAATATGGAAAATCACAGATAAATGAATAAAATAAAGAATTATAGAGCCATTTCATGCTGAACGATTTTACATATAGAACCCATCCAGACAAAACTGCAAAATATTTGCTCCCATTTTGTTTGAAGAAAGTAAGCTTCTATCTGTGTCTTGGTGACTACAAAAATAATATACCTTACGGTTTTCAAAGACTTTTAATATATATTTTTCATCTGATTGTCACAACACTTTATTTTTTTGCAGTAAGTCATGATAAATCTTATGTCACAAATAAGAGCACATATACATTCAGTCAATAAGATTGTAATGAATAGCTACTATGTCCTAGTAATTGCAGTATGCTATCGGAATACAATAAGTATCCCAATGACAATCCCAGAGACAAGACAGATATGGTCACTCCCTTCCTAAAGCTTATAGTCTAGGGAACACAAAGAGTTTGAAAGACGTCTTAGGGTGGTCATATAGCCAGATGGTAGAAGAGCCAATACAAAATATCAAGCAATATGGTTTCCTTCATTTGTCAATGTAATACCTCCTACATTATTTCAATGACATTTAATCTATGGTCCAGGGTTTTTTTTCTTCTTTTAATTTAACATTACCTTCCTTACTTTTGATTTACAGGTGTAGTTCTGAGTGTTGTGGTGAGCCCTGGGGCAGGACAAAAGCCTGCTTATCTTCTGATTCTGAATGCCAAGGACTTGAGTGAAGTTGCCAGGGCTGAAGTGGAGATTAACATCCCTGTTACCTTTCATGGTCTGTTCAAAAAATCCTGACCACATTCTAGCAAATTATATTTCTATTGACAGAACTAAGAAAAACAGGTCTGCAATCAAATTCTATTCAATTTTAGCCTGCTGTATTATATGGTTTTAACTTGCAGATGCACACAATCTTGCAATATTTTACAGAAAGCACAAAGTTGAGCAAGCAATTCCTTTACCAAAAAAAAAAAAAAAAACTACATTATTTAGATAATCATGCTTTCTCTGGCTTTCTCTGAGACAGACAGACCATAACTAAAAACTCTATATATTTAGTTATCAAATAGAAAATGAATGTGGATTTATTAAACTTTTTTGTTCCTATTATAAAAGTATATTTTAGGTACCCATCTGCTCCAATTATTTTTTAACATTTAAGAGCCAAGTTCTTTATACCAGATCTGTATGTGGTTTTACTGAAGTAAAGCAGGATCATGCAAAAAGGCTTAATTCCTAAATGTCAGACCAAACTTTCTCACAAACAAGGAACTATCATCTAAGAGTAACCCTAGTAATTGCTCATATATACATATACATACATACACACATGTATGTATGTGTGTGTGTGTTTATATATTACTGCTCCAAGATTTTCAAGCTTTATGAAAGGCATTTAATATAGGCAATTACTGATTATTTTGGATTTTACAATGAGAAAGCCTATCTCTTAACAGACTGAGGGCTCTAATCAAATAACATCACAGAGACTAAGTTATCTATTAAAAACTTACATAACATCAAAGCAATTACATATAGCAGTGACTATAATTTTTTGAAATACAAATATAATTTCTACTTAAAATAATAGTATAGGATAATGTCAGTGGGTTATATGTTAATTATATTTAAGCACTGTGCAATCATCTGACCTAAGTGAAAGACAAAGAGAGAGAAAAAGAGGAAATATTAAATAATTAACAAATATTAATACAATTTAAGTACTTTTATTTTGAAAATTATTCTCCTATGTGCTGCATGTTGCAAAAAAATGGAGACTGACAAAAAATTATATTCTGTATCTTAATCCTGGTATGTATTTTATGCTAAGAAGTATTACATATCATTGTATTTAAGATAATCAGCATTGTGTTTGACTAAGTAAAAATAGCTTGAAGGAACAGACTGACTAGGGTACTTGATGTATCCATTTAGTTTCTTTATTTAGATAAAATTCAAACTCATTTTTTAAAGTTATAAATACTCATTGAAACATACTTCTCAAAGAAATCTAAAATTATAGAAAAGTAGAAATTATAAAGTAAAATTATACAGAGTTCATCTAAGCTCAGCTACCATTAAGACTGGGCATTATTATTTTCTATCTTTTTTCCTCCAGTGGATTTTTAATGTAATCATTGTTTCACTGTGGCTAGTTCCTAGCTAGAACCAGAAATTTCACAAAAGGAAAGAAAAATGCCAGAGAATAACAAGGAATGTGTGATTGTAGATAAACATCAGTCCATTAGTTTTTGTCTCCAGACATGGCACATGAACATAATTCCTCAAAGAAGGATATTTATCCATTTCTTTTAAAAATGGAAAAAATAAAGTACGGGGCAATTACTACATTTTGTGTTTAATAAAACCTCCCAGTTTGAGAGAATTCCTAAAGCTGCTGTTTCCTACATTTGCCAATCACTCCCTGCCTTCTTCCTATTCATTTTCAATGAAACAAGTCTTGCAGTTTGGGGTGCCCACCTCCCCTCTCTTTGTAGGAGCCCACTGTGAGCATGGTGTTCTGTGAAAATCACCAGTGTTTGTTAAGATAAGAGACAGACAGATTACACTAAAGTAACATTCTGCCAATACCATTTGGCCAAAATAGGAATTCTCTATACAATCATTGCAAATATTATGCCAAGAAGGCTTAGGAGCTGCTTTTCAAGACCCAAAATGGAACATGGGCTTAAGTTTTTTTTAATTAGAATAAGGGAGATTTAAGTCAAGCAAGAGGGAGTAGCTTGGAAATACAGATTGAAAAAATTAAGGAAACTGCTTTCTAAGAATCAGAGCTACCTATTTGGGGAATCTAGAGAACCATATCCCATATAAAAGTAAATCTGTTTTAAGGAGAAAAAAAAACTCAATTTAATTAAGACCAATAAACCTGTGGATAAGTAGTTATTTTTAAAATAACAAGTTGTTGGGGCACCTGGGTGGCTCAGTTGGTTAAGCATCCGACCTCAGCTCAGGTCATGATCTCACAGTTCGTGGGTCCAAGCCCCATGCTGGGCTCTGTGCTGACAGCTCAGAGCTTGGAGCCTGTTTCAGATTCTGTCTGTCTGTCTGTCTGTCTCTCTGCCCCTCCTCAACTTGTGCTCTGTCTCTTTCTGTCTCAAAAATAAATAAACTATAAAAAAATTTTATAAAACATCTTTGATGGGTCAATAGCTCTTACTATTGATTAGTAGGCCAAAATGCTCTTTCAATAATAGTAACCATGTATCAAGTAGTTATTATGCCAGAGAGTCTACTAACCAGTCCATAAAATCCTATGTGTAGATTTGATAATCCTAATTTGCAGATAAGGAAAGTGAAGCTCAATAATGTTAAATAACTTACTCAAGATTCCACACAGAATGGGGATCTAATTCCAAATACTAGCTGTATCTATTAGATGCAGTGAACTACTACATGGAAGTAGTTTACAATTTCAACATTAGATTACTACATTCTTTGGATGATATCCAAGAAGCAGACATAGAGGAAATATTTCCCAATTCATTTGGAGGCTGGTATTACCTGATAGCAATTACAGACAAAAACATCACAAGAAAGCTACGACCAATATCATTTATGAATTTATATGAAAAAATTTATCAATAAAATACCAGAAAAACAAATTCAACAATTCATAAAAAGTATTGTATCGAGTAGGATTTATCCTAAAAATTCAAGGTTGGTTTAACATTCAAAAATCAATAAATATAATATACCACTATTAATAAAGGACAAAACCACAAGATCATCTCAATACATGCAGACATAGCATTTGAAAACATTTAATAACTATTCCAAAAAAAAGAAAAAATATTACAAATAAAAAGGAGTTTGTTCATCTAGATAAACAACATCTATGAAATATACACAGTTCACATTATGCTTTATGATGAAATACTGAATTTCTCCCCACCCTGAGACCAGAAACAAAAGAAAAATGCCTGCTTTCCACACTACTATTCAGCATTGTACTGGAGCTTTTAGCCACAGCAATTAGGCACGGAAAAGAAATAAAATATAAAAGGAAGACTGAAGCTATCTCTATTGACCGATGATATCATTTCACATCAAAAAATATTAGAATTCACATCAAAAACTATTAGAACTAATAAACAGCTCCACTAAGTTGCAGGATACAAGATCAATACACAAAAAATTGGTTGTATTTCTATATACTACCCAAAATAAAGCAATCCATTTACAAAAATATTAAAAAGAATAAAATATTTAGAAATGACCTTAGTAAAAGAAGTTTCAAGAATTGTACAAAGAAACTACAAAATAAAGTTGAAGCAAATTAAGTAAATAGAAAAACATCTCATGTTCTTGGATTGGAAGGCTTAATATTGTTAAGATGGCAATACAATCCAAACTACCCTACAGATTCAAAGCAATCTATATCAAAACTCCAGTTGCTTTTAAGCAGAAATTAACAAACTGATCCGAAAATTCATATGGAAATGTAAAAGACTGAGAATAGCCAGAACAATCTTGAAAACAAAGAGCAAAGTAAAGGGTTCCTATGTTCCCATTTCAAAAGTCACAGTAATCAAAACAGTATGGTACTAGAATAAGGATAGACATACAGATCAGATGAACAAAATAGATAGTTCAGAAAACAACCCTCATATTTGGTCAAATAATTTTCAACAAAGGTACCAAGACAATTCGATAAGGAAAAAATCGCCTTTTCAATAAATGGTGCTATGAAAACTGGATATCCACATACAAAAGAATGAAACTGGACCCTTATTTCATATCATATACAAAAAATAACTCAAAATTGACCACAGAACTAAACGTAAATGCTCAAACTTCAAAACTCCTAGAAGAAACCATAAGGGTAAATGCCCATAACCTTGGTTTAGGCAATGATTTCTTAGATGTGATATCAAAAGCATACACAACAACAGAAAAATATAAAATGATATATTTTTTACATTTGTGCCTCAAGAATACCATCAAGAAGACAACCCACAGAAAGGGAGGAAATATTTACAAAAATATATCTGATAGGAACTTGTATATTATATATAATAGGATATATATGTATATATTCTAATAACTTTCCTAGAAATATTAATAACTTTTATTTACTTGATTTCAAAGCTAGCTTTAACAAAAGCTTAATTATTTAAAAATTGTATGTATAATTATGTCCATTTCTCACTATAGTTTTCATAGAATAGAGAATACATAATATCCAACATCCTTTAAGAATCACATAATCTTGAAATTGAAAGGACTTGAGAAGTCATCCAAACAGCCTTTTATATCTGAAATATAAATCTTCTTTTCCACATTTTAGGTAAGGGATTATCTAATCTCTTTTTCAGCTCCCTAGTGACAGGAACCCATTATTTCTGAGAAAATAGGTACATTTATTTACAGTTCTATTTGTGAGAAAATCTTTACTAATTAAACCTACTTACATAACATTATAAATAATAACCTTCTTACCAAGAGGAACAACAGAAAAATCTGTTCCAAGAAAGTAGTGTTTCTGAATATTTTTGTTAGCCTTAAATAATAGGAATACTCAAAATAAATAAACCACAATATCAAAACAAATGTAATAAGGAATCACTAAGATATTAAAGTTTTGTGGTGTTAAAAGTTAAATGGTAGAACCATAATCCCTCAAACTAGAATGTGTGTAGGGTCATGTCTGACACAAGTCAAATGGGGACACTTATTTTTTCCTGGCTTCAGAGGAAGTTCCCTTGCAACTAATAGACTTAGCATTTAAGAAAATCATTAGTCAATTAGGATATAGTATAATACACAGAGTTTACTTAAAGTTATAAGTAAGCCTTTACTCAACATAAATGGTAAAAGTAAAGTTTATTGTAAGATGCGTAATGCAAGCACTCAGGAAGGCTTTGTTGCTATCAATAAATCTGTGAAGAATCTTCTTCACCTCTCTGCTCTCCAGTGCTCTCAGTTCAGAAGGACTGGACTATATGATTTTTATGGTTTCTTCTAGCTTTGAAAATTCTGTATA